CCACTTCAAGTAAAATGGGAGGCTCTAAGCAGTGGAATGACCCAATCATGGCTATGTGTTAAGTAATTAAAATGTAATAGAAATTATGAACTGGAAAGGATAAGAGAGGTCAAAAACTGAACATCACAACCATCTAATTTTCTGCTATTAAAAATAATGATGCTGTTCCTGACACACCAAAGGGGACAATATACATGGGCTGAGCTATGTAGAGAAAAGAAATCACGTGTTCTTCCAAATACCAGCTATGAGATCTTGGCTACCTCTCTTGACTCCCTGAGCCCAGGGCACATCATTTGTAAAACAAAGATGGTAAACCATGCCTTGAAGGGTTGGATGAAGACTGAATGAAATGATGTATAGAAAATGCCAAGAGTGGTGCCTGATAACAAACAAGTATTATAAAACAATGAAAAGTATTTGCTACCTTCATCTCAAACTCCTCTGTAGCTCTGGAGTCTGGGATTTTCTGGCCCTCAACCAACTTTACTTAATATTGACATTCTCATTCTTATAATAATTAGAACAATAATAAAAACAACAAGAAAGCAATGCCACAAGAATCCCCCTTACACATACATTTTGTCCACTTGGGCAGGTAGAGATTAGCAGGACAGATTCCTGATACTGGATTGTTGAGTTACAACATACGTACATATCAAATCTTGATAACTGTTGCAATTTTTAATAAATGTTTTCCTCTAAATAGTTATAGTCATCTATATACCCTATCAACTGTGAATAAATGCCTTTAAAAAAAATGTTTTCAGCCAAAACCGGTTTGGCTCAGTGGATAGTGTCGGCCTGCAGACTGAAAGGTCCCAGGTTCCATTCCAGTCAAGGGCATGTACATTGGTTGCAGGCACATCCCCAGTGGGGGGTGTGCAAGAGGCAGCTAATCGATGTTTCTCTCACTGACGTTTCTAACTCTCTATCCCCCTCAATTCCACTCTGTGTAAAATCAATAAAATATATATTTAAAAAAATGTTTTCACTAACTCATTATCATTATCTTTCATCTTTACTAATCTGATTGGCATTTCTGGACAAAGAAATTCTAAAGGTGCAAAGGAAAGAAGAGAGAAAGATAATATATCAAGCAGTTGGACTTGAAATATTTTCAGTGGAAGTAAAGACTTACTCTGTTCCTAACTTAAGAACAGAAAGGGACCTTCCATCAATAGTCCACATTCATGACAACAATGATAAACAAATAAAGCTGATATGTTCTCAGAGGCTGTGAGGCACATTTCATCAATATGACTCTTCCAAAAAAGTTATCAAGTTATAATTATATTGAGATTTACTTACAGACCATACAGTGAAATACCTTACTAGGGTGCTTGCATAGACTACTGGTTTCTTGATTAAATTAAAAATGTTTTGTTATATGAAAATGATTATATATCAACTCTTTTATGTTTTGCTAAGTGATCTTTAAACAGAGAATGGCTCATAACCTATATCTATAAAAATGAATAGAAATAATTCCAACTGCCACATAAGATTGTCATGAGGATTAAATGACAATTTAATTGAGAGTTAATCCTTGGCCAGACAAGCACTAAATACTAATTGCATGGTGACTATTAGCTATTATTATTGATAACTGCTGCAAATGCAGACATCAATTACAATTTATAGAACTGAAAAATATTGCTAAGTTCAACTGCAATAATTTTAACATAAAATTCAAATTTATGGTATCCTGACTTAAGCTATTCTCTCAATACAAGCATAGATTTAAGGTTTTCTATAAAGCACTATTAGGGTCTAATTAGTTTTAATCAGTAGTAAGCTAAAGAAATTTCCTTACATAACTGAGATTTCAGTGCAACACTCAAGAGATATCTGGTTTTTATTCAAGTGCAATTAACTTGCTTTTAAAGATTTTTATGTGACAGTAGCTGGAGTGCCAGATGCAGCACTTTGATGCTGTGTCTCAGAAGCATAAAAATAACACAGAAATCACACAAATAATGTGAAATTTCAAAAACACATTATCTCTCTGATTTTCAAACACTACCATCCTTCCTAAATCCAGTATGTCCCATCCTTTCTTTCCGCCTCCTTTCATGGCAAAACTTCTTTAAAGAGTGGTCTGCATGTCTCATCTGATTACTTTCCTTACTTACCCTCTGTTCACTTCCTATTGCTGCTGTGACAAATGACTACAAACTTGGTGGCTTGAAGCAACACAAATTTATCATTTTATGCTATAGGTTAGAAGTGTGACATGCAAGTCACCAAGATAAAATCAGGATGCAGCAGAGCTGCATTTATTCTGTAAACTCTAAGAGAAAGTCTATTATTTTCTTGCCTTTTCCATCTTTAAAGAGGCTGCCTGCACTTTTTGGTTCATGGTCCCTTCCTTCATCTTCAAAATCAGCAATGACGGTTGAGTCACTTCTCACATTGCATCATTCTGACCTCTTCTGTAGTAGCATCTCCATCTGACTGTCCTCTCTGCCTTTCTCTTCTTCCTCTCTGAAGGACCACTGTGATTATGTTGGGTTCACTCAAGATAATCTAGAATAATCTCTTTCTTGTAAGGTGGTCAAGTGACTAGCAATTTTAATTCTACCTGCAACCTTAATTCTCATTTGTCATGTAACCCAATGCAGTCATAGGTTCTAAGAATTAGGATTACAATACCAGATTCTTTATTGTTCACTTAAAACAAACAAACAAAAAGAACAACATACGTTGTTAGTTGGTTAGTTTCAGCTGCTCAAGACCTCTACATATCTGACTTGATGTTGAATCAGAAGCCTCTCCATTGTTCATAGTTTTGTGTTTCTATTAACAGGTGAGGAAGTGACATACACTGGAGATACTGAGTTCAATAAACCTCCAAGGATTATTAAAAACTCTAGACATTACCTAAAGAGAAGTTTTTCATTAAATATGCAAAAGGATAACCATGGAAAGAGCTGGTTGATTTTCAAAGACTAGGTCTCGTTCATGCAAGCTCATGGAAATCAGCTGACAGGACAGGAAGTAGCAGAGTTAACTGACAGAAAGAAGGGCTAAAAGCTCTCCTGCTTTCAAGGAAGGAGTCTCTCTTCTGCTTTTACTCTTCAAAACTTAACTGATTTCCAGTAATACTCTGACTGACATCTGGTCATCTAACATTTGTATCACAAGTCTTCTCAGTTAGAATTTCTCTCTCTCATATTTCTTCCTATGGTGGCACCTTCCAAAGAGCTGTTATTAGCCCGAATTTCCTCTGGATTCGACCCCACCTCCACCCACGTGCACAAGTTAACTCGGTCTTCTTTTATTCTTATTTCCTACATATTTTTCTCTTCCTTCAGTCACGCCTCACATACATTCATTCCCACACTTTCTGGTTCTCATTTGCACCCCTCCTCCTCCTTCAGATCGCCTAAATCTCTTGATTGCTCCTTTTTCTTGTCTTGTATCAAAAGTACATGATGAACCATATACACCTGAAAGTAATTTCTTTTTAATGTTATGCCAAAGTCATCTTGAAGCATCCATCTTATATAAAAACTGCTGTTTGGAATTTTAATCCTGCTATTTGGCTTCTGTAAATGCTTGTTTGCTTAAATAATAAGGAAAATAAGACTACTCCCACTTCAGAGAGGCCATTAAACCTTCCCCGGATGAAATTATCAGTGCTGGCTCCTGGCCAGGCCTTTAGTTGAGGTCTCAAGGCCCCAGCACATAGGGCTCTTTAAGAACTGTCAAAGGGGGCCTGAAAGATCCCATATTTGGGAGACAAAGAAAGGTAAAAACATATAAATAGGGAAAATTCCTCCATATTGGGGCCCAGAATTTGTGGACCCGCACGTCATAAATGTAACTCCATCTCTCTAAGTATTGCTTGGTTCTTCTCTGGCTTTCTGTAACAATCTCACTTTTTTCCTTTCTGTTTTAGCTCAACAATCTAATAGCACCTCCTGCAAATGCCTCCCCGCTTATCAAAATCATTATAAATTTCTGACTAAGACATAAATTTACCAGTGTTGTGAATTAGTCATATTAACTTCAAAGCAAGGCAGGATCTCAGTTGCTGTCTGATTTGCTATATACAACAGACTGCAATGTATCATGAACCATTCCCTTGCCATCTCAGCAAGTATCCTCACCCGTGTAATTTTTGAGTTGAAATTAATATTCAAAAATGAAACTTCAATATAACTCACTGAGAGAATGATTCATGGTAGCAGAACTGTCTATGAGGCCAGGTGGCTGTTATAGTTATAATTGTGTGAAGTGTGTTTAACATTTAGCATTATATAATTCAATACCTAATATATTAATTTGTTATATTTAAGAGTGAATATTATACCTAGCAACTGTGTGAAGGCCCTACTAACTGGGTGAACGCCCCAGTAACTGTGTGAACCCCCTAGCAACTCCCACCTGGAACCAGAACCGTTACAAGCCTGAGACCCACTAAAGACCCATTGGTAACACCGAAGAAAGCAGGAGAACGCCCAGAAATCGGCTATAAAAGAAGCAAGGTTGGAGGCATCAACCAGAGACACCCAAAGGCTCCTCCACTGACAGTCGCTCTCCACTCCCTTCCTCCTTCCTGCCTGAAGCTCTGCTGGAGCTCCACGGAGCTCACCGTGAGCCGTGAACTGTGAGAGGCCTCGACCGACGCTGACCTGCAGCTGCAACAGTGTCCTGTGTGTGTCTGTCAGTGCAGATCTCCAGTGCAGGCTTGCTGAGTTCTGGAACCCACCAGGCCTTAGGTAAATAAACCATGTGTGATTCGTGCATTTAATTTTTGTCTCCTGTATTTAATTTATGCTCGGTCATTTTATTAAGAAGTACCTTGGTAACTCTGTATAAGTCCACTATGTGGCTGAGGAGCCCTTGGTCACCTGTGCATACATCCCTTGTGGAATAATTGGGACACAGACACACACACTAAAAGAGCTAGATGGACATATACTAATTATAGAGAGGAAAATATAACAAGGTAAATTATGGGTAGTAAACATAATTTTTTAACATTTTTTAAAAATATCTTTTACATGCATATAGATGCCTTTGTAGAAATAAAAGTTTTTTAAAATACCGTATTTGTTACAAAGGTCTATAGAGTTTGTTTATCCATTAGACAAAAAGATCAGCTGGGTCCCTGAAGAGCTCAGTAGTATCTAAATTCTTGCTATTAATCTCTACTAACACAGAAACCTGAATAAGGTCAGTCAAGCAATCTACCTTTAGAGACAGTTACAGGCTGAACTGTGTCCTCCTGCCCCCAATATCCACACATTGAAGCCCTAATCCCCAGGCCCTCAGAGTGTGACTGTATTTAGAGGCAAGGCCTTTAAAGAGGTAATTAAGTTATTAAAATGAGGCCCTTCCACCTGACTGGCGTCCTCATAAGAGGAACTCTGAACACAAAAACACCACCAGGGGTCTGAGTGCACCAAAGACCCACCACATGAAGAGGCAGCAAGAGGGTGGCCATCTGCGAGTCATGGGGAAAACCCTACAACAGACCCTTTCCCTGTGGTCCTCAAAAGAAACCATCCCTGCCGCATCTCGCTCTTGGACTTCTAGCCGCCAGACTGTGAGGAAATACATTTCTGCTGTTTAGCCACCCACAGTGATATTTTGTTATGGCAGCCCTAGCAGACTACCTAATGTACTTGAAAAAGTAACCTAAGAAGAGAAGCAGTCCAGAGATGGAAGACGCTGATGATACCTTGCCATACTAACAGACAGCAGCTGTGTGTCACTGAAGGATGCCCAGGACCAAACCAGAGAGGGTTGGACCTGCATTACCACCATCTGTCCACCACCCAGAACTGAAATATCATTGCTGACATGAACACATAAGGAACTGTTTGACATTGAAATTGGGTCTCAAAACAATTGTTGACCTAGAAAGAAACTCACTACAGACTGATTCATATGCCTTTCAGAATAACAATTATTGCTTGTCTCATTTTTGAGTCTTATAAGTATATTTCCAGTAGGACATGATCTCACTCATCTAGGGGAAATGGTGAACAACATAGACTGATAAACAAGAACAGACCCAGAGATAAGGAGCCATGGGTCAGATTGTTGGACCTCAAAGAGAGGGTAAGGATAAAAGGGAGAGATCAACCAAAGGACTTATGTGCACACATATGAGCCTAACCAGTGGTCAAGGACAATAGGGGTGTGGGGACATGAGTGGGGAGGATAGAGGGATTGGAATGCGGGGTTAAGGACAAATATATGATACCTTAATCAATAAAGAAATTAAAAAAAAAAAGTCACCTAGTGTGTCTTCTAAGCACAGCAAATAAAACCCACAAAAATGTGTATAATAAAGTCCTACTCTAGATTTCTGGCCATTTTTGCCTTTAAAGTAAAATAACAACTATAAACATACACAAAGAGAAATTACATTAAGCCTTATTAACCGATGTCACCCCAGTAAATTTAATAAAGAAAAGAAATTATATTGAACAACCTACGTGGATAGGAGGAGGGGCACGCTTTCTGGATGGGCTGCTTCACTTACAATGGAACATGTCTAATTGCGTTCTACTCTTGAGCTGGCACAAGAAATGGGTTTCCTTGTTTGTTTTGTATTTATTTACGGGCCACTGGCAAAGAACAAAACTACTGGAGAACCAAGAAATAAAAAGCAACATTATTAAGGACTATTGTTTTTAATCAAATACAAAATGTTTCATTCACCTACTTTTAAATTAAAAACGACACCATTTTCAATAAACAAACAAACAATTGAGTGTTTATGGTAAGAGAACAAAGAAGGCGGAGAGAGAAGCCCTGGAGTGGTGGTGGAGTCCAGGAGTTGGGGTTTAACATTTATGAGCTGGTTTATTGTGAAGGGAGAAGACCGAGCAGGGTAATCATTTCTGAACCAGCCCTCATGGACTCCCGAGGATTCCTGGGAAATTCTGGGAGGGTGAGGAACAGAAATAAACTGGCAGGGTTGGTGCCCTTGAGCTCAGATCTGAGCAGAGTGACCCAGTTCTATTTGTTTTCCATTTGAATGTTAGTGCTCTCACTTGAGAGAGGGTTCTGCAGCTAAAAATGTTTGAAACCATTGTATTAAAATGGTCTGTCCCCTACGATCTAAACATTCAGAAGGAAAGCATTTAAAAATCGGTAAAAAACATAGCTGAGCAGATACACTCAAGATGCAAAATGAAGTGCCATGTGACATTTACTTGCTGGAACAATAGGCAGATACAGTGAGTGGGGACTTGGACAGGACAGTAGAGACAGCAGCCTATCTATACTATCTAATATCTACACTAATAAAAGGGTAATATGCTAATTAGACTGGATAGACTGAACATCTTCTGGATGTCCTCTGGACAAAGCTGCAGTGGCTGCGAGGACTGAGAAGGGCCAGCAGTGATAGCAGCAGCGGGTAATGGGGGCGGCGCCTTCCCCTGATTGGCCCGGTCGCCTCCCACAGAGGAAGGCCAGAATGCAGCTTAAGCTGTCAGTAGGACATCCCCTAATGGCTACCATACTGTGAGAGGGGGCAGGCGAGGCTGAGGGACCCCACCCTCCAGGGAACAAATGTTCATGCACCGAGCCTATAGTCTGTCTATATAAAAGCCTAAGCTACTTTCCAAGCATTCAACCAGTAGCTATGATGCACAATGACCACCAGGGGGCAGACACTCAATGCACAGGCATGGAAACATGGAACAGACTGATGAATCTGAGGGAAAGGGGGAGGGGGACAAGAGATTAACCCAAGATCTTATATGCATACTACAGGCCCAGTGCACAGATTCGTGCACCAGTGGGGTCCCTTGGCCTGGCTTGTGGGGATCAGGCTGAAACTGGGTGGGGTCCCTCGGCCTGGCCTGCAGAGATCAGGCAGTTTTACCTGTCACAAATCCATGCACTGGGCCTCTAGTGTATGTATAAAAGACTCAGGATTGCCCTAGCTGGTTTGACTCAGTGAATACAGCATCGGCCTGCAGACTGAAGGGTCCTGGGTTCGATTCCAGTCAAGGGCACATGCTGGGATTTTGGACTCGATCCCAGTGGGAGGCATGCATGAGGCAGCTGATCAATGATTCTGTCATCATTAATGTTTCTATCTATCTTTCCCTCTCACTTCCTTTCTGAAATCAATAAAAACATATTTTTTTAAAAAGGATTCAGCATTGTAAGTCTATGGTAAACATTGCAAAATGAACCTGAAGTGTAACTTCATGAATCAAAAAGTAAATGAATACAGCTTAAGGCATCATTAATAAAACTATAATTTTCAAAATGAAAGCATTCAATAAAATTGCGAAAAATATATTTAAAAAATCAGTTTGTACTACCAATAATCAAGAGTACAGATAGCACTATTCAGCAAACTTTCATATGAATCAGACCTGAGTTCCAGTCTTCATTCTCAAACTTACACAACATATGTAACCTCAAAAAATGCAGCTTCCAGAACCTTCCACAGCATGAATGAGGGGATTTGGACAGTGTGTTGTGAGGGTTAGTGATGCTACAGATAACACCTGGCTAGTAGTGCTGGCACACTGCAGGCATCAAGAACAGGTAATACTTACAGAACATGGTGTGAATTCTGTCTCAATTCATCGTAGAATAGTTAGAAAAAGGAGGATCAAAATACACAAATGCAAGTTATCACAAGAATGGGACTGAAACTGTAACGGATGAAAGAGTCAGCGATGGCAGAGCGTGGCACTAGAAGCACGCCCTTTACTTCTAGCAGGAACAGAAAAGGGCGGAACACCTGCACAGCAGTCTAGCAGTACGTGCAGAGGACATTCCAAAGTTCCTGTACGCTCCAGGCCCTGGGAGAGGCAAGGATTCAGAATGTGGAAATGAGAGAAATAAAAGGGGTGACTGGGTAGCTTCTTTTCTTTCTTTTTTAAATTTTTTCCCAATTACTGATTTCCATGAGTATCCCTTTGTCAGTCCAAATCAGTATATTTCCTGAGAACTCCTGAAGCAGACACTGTGGCCCACTTCGCGGCTCACTGCCCAGGGAGGAGATGGCTCAGTGTTTCCTCTGATGAATAAAGGAGTGTGAGACAGAAGTAACATTCCTGCAGGTTGGGAGGTCCCAAATCCGGTGCAACTCAGGATATTCACGGAAATGCCACCACAAAGGGAAAAATGAAAGTTAAACTATTTGCTTCTCTTAAGTTCGAAATATGCTACCCTATGACTGCATTACAACACAAAGAAAGTGTTTCTGTAAAAAGTCTGATGACAAAGGACACTTACCTAAAATGAGATGAAGTTTGGTTGCTGTCTGGAAGGCATAGTGCAACGTCACCAAAAACGGCGACTGCCTGATGTGCTCCAGGACCTGTCGCTCCGTCCGCGTGTGCTCTGTGGTTTTGGCCTTTTGAACTATGGTTGCCTTTTTCAAAACCTTCATGGCATACAGCTTTCCAGCATCATGGCCACTTATTTTACGAACTAGAAATACTTTTCCATAAGCTGAAGAAGAAGAAAAACAAAAACAATTAAAATGCTACACAGGCAGATTGGTAAGTTAATGGAAGTTGAAAGTTACAATGCACTAAAAAGCACCTTTGAATGAAAAAGTATCCCTAGTACTGTTTCAAAGAGTTCTCTGACAGATTTCTTCAATGTTATGCCAACCATGTTTCTAAGTCTAACCCTCAGTATTTACATATCTAACCACTGCTGACAAAGTTATGCTTTCACTGCTACTGTTATTCTCTCCTCAGTATTTTTAGCTCTAGGAAACTAGCTTTATTATGGTCAATTAACCCCAATCCAATTCTGGGACAACTAGGACATTTCATAGCTCAGCTAAAACCTCTAGGTTTTGCTACTGATGTGAATGAATAAAAACAGTTCTTAATAAGGATCTCCTACACACACACACACACACACACACACCCCGAATCAAGTGCCTCTAGTATTGCTCTACACTCATTTTAAAAGTCTAAAGCAATATAAACTGACATTATATGAGCAAAAGAGATCTTCAGGTTAAAAACAAACATTAAAATATCTTACATTTCAAGCAATACTGAAGAAGCCCCTCTACATCCATGGGCAGTCATTTACAGTTTACTAGGTCAACCTCACCACATATTCCCTAAGTAAGGGCTCAGCTGGGTACATCTCTGAGAGGTACCACTCCTCTAGGTGAGGAAATGGGGCCCTATGGGCACTGTGCCTCTTGGGCAGAGCAGGGATCTGCATTTGTTTAGAGAAGGGGGGAGAGGGCTGGAAGAGGTGGGAGGAGGAAGGAGGAAGGGCAGGCAAAAATATCCTGAGAGGGAAGGGGTAGGTCCCCAAATCATCCCTCAAGGTATAATTGTTCTTCCCTTTTAAAAATGTAAACACCTCCTGGGATGGTTAAGCCCAATCCCGCTTTTGAAGTTAAAACTTTTAATGAGACCACTCTGGAGCCAGAGTTGTGACCCATACCGGTGCTTCCCAAGCTCTGCCCACACCCCTCCAGTATTGAGCACATAATTCTTCTCCAATCCACCCACTGGAATAAGAGAGCTTTCAAGGAAGGGCTCGTGTACCTGGATGTTATTCAGTTCAGTGCTTCGGGAACTATTTAGTACAGACACGTGTCCTAAAATGGATCAGTGAATGTAATACTCCTGAGAAGCAGGAAAACTATCACTTATTAAGGACTTGTCTATGCCAGGCTCTGTACAAACATATTCCATGTATAGAGCCATGTAATCCTCAGAACAGCCAATGTGCTTTCAGTAATTCCGCTTTATAGATGAGCAAATGGGTTCAAAATACTCAAGGAATTGGCCCAAAGACTTGATAAGAAGTGGCAGAACCCACTCAATTGCAGCAAGTGTTATGCCAGAGACCATGTTCAGCATAAATGAAGAAAAAAATAATCCCTCACAAATACTAGAAATCAGATTCTCTGGATTGTAGTAAAATCAACACCATGAACACATTCTGGAATACAGAAAAAGTTCACAAAACGTTTGTGTCTCATTACAAATGAAATAATTACAGATTGAGATTTCAGTAAGTCAGAAGTGAATCAAAAAGAGAAAACACAACCCTAACAAATTAACTTCAAGTATAAAAATGGAAAAGCTCATCTGTGCAGAGTATTGAAAGGAAGGTAAAATCTTTATAATGAAGTGTTTATCTTCCATGGAGCAGTCACTTACAAACTCAGGAGCAAGTCTTCAACTGGTATGGGGCCTCTGTGTGTCCCACATACACAGCACCCAACCTCAGTTCCAGCCCCCAGGACTGATGCTCTCCTCTCCCTTGGTAAGACTCACTGCCACACACTGCATGCCTGTAATTAGCTCACAGTGCACTTCTGTCCCCATGCAATTCAGTCATGCTTCAAATCAGTCACTGACACTCACTGTCCTGCCTGTTTATGCCTGCTGCATACGTTATTATTATAATTTAACTAACTATTACATAACCACTGAAATGTAAATGTGAAAGAGAAAATTGAGGTTGAATACTTTGGATGAACTAGATAAAAGCAAGATAATTCAAAAGAACTGCTAGAAAGTTAGGTGTGGGTCAAATAAGTATAAAAGGCATGGGGGGAAATTATGAAAATCTAAAAGAATTTTGTACTCAGACTACTTCAAATGTGGCTGGTTCTCACTCTACTTTAAAGAATTGAAAACTTAACTTTAGTGGGGTTTATACAAAACAAACCATTGTTTAAGAATCTAGTCTTGAAGAACAGGTGTTGTGCCTACATCCAAAGACTGGCAAGTGAATTTATCCATTTTAAAACATTTTTTCCATTTTACCCAACATTTCTTGATTAACCACAAGTACCAATCATGTCATGTGAAAGTTTGCACTAACAAAGGGATCATTCATATTCGTACTGCTGAAATTCATCCCCCTCATCCTTCCAAATAACTTGTTAAAGGTTGACTCAGTCATCAACCATACTAGCTGTGCCTCTCAGCTTGCTTTCCCACTCAGTCTGGCAAACATACCTTTTTGTGCTGTCATCTAAATTGCTGATAAAAATATAACCTTTCCTGTCCAGCAGAGTGGCTCAGTTGGTTGAGTGTCGTCCTGTGCACCGAAAGGTTGCCGGCTCAATTCCTAGTCAGGGCACACACATGGGTTGCAGGTTCAGTCCCCGGTGGGGGCATGTAATGGAAGGCAACTAACTGATAGATATTCCTCTCATGTCGATCTGTCGATCTGTCGATCTCTCTCTCTCTCT